TTCTGTGATTGTTTCTGTCTGCTGTATAATTAATTTTGTTGGGTGTAGACCAATTAAGGTGGTGTGATATAATTGGTTAAATAACCATGTTACAGTATGTTAGGATTGGTTAGTAAAATTTCAGTAAAACGATTGGTTAAGGTATAGCTAAGCAGAACTCAAGTTTTACTATACAGTCTGCAGTCAGTCAGGAAGTGGGGGGGGGGGGAGAGAATAGGAACAAGGAGTGAGGGTGGGGGAATTGGAATCATGTTTTGCTAAGGGGGAGGAAATGGGAACAGGGACACAGGCAAGGCTCTGTGGTATCAGAGCTGGGAAAGGGGACACTAAGGAAGGAAACTGGAATCATGCTTGCTGGAAGTTCACCCCAATAAACATCGAATTGTCTGCACCTTTGGACTTCGGGTATTGTTGCTCTCTGTTCATGCGAGAAGGACCAGGGAAGTGAGAGGGTGAAGGAATAAGCCCCCTAACAGGTTGGATATTAGGAAAAAACTTTTTCACTAGGAGGGTGGTGAAGCACTGGAATGGGTTACCTAGGGAAGTGGTGGAATCTCCTTCCTTAGAGGTTTTTAAGAGGGGGAGGGATAGCTCAGTGGTTTGAGCATTGGCCTGCTAAACCCAGGGTTGTAAGTTCAATCCTTAAGGGGGCCATTTAGGAATCTGGGGCCAAATCAGTACTTGGTCCTGCTAGTGAAGGCAGGGGGCTGGACTCAATGACCTTTCAAGGTCCCTTCCAGTTCTAGGAGATCGGATATCTCCATTAATAAAAAAGGTCAGGCTTGACAAAGCTCTGGCTGGGATGATTTAGTTGGGAATTGGTCCTGCTTTGAGCAGGGGGTTGGACTAGATGACCTCCTGAGGTCCCTTCCAACCCTGATATTCTATGATTCTAAGACTAACCCACCTTTTGGGGCTGGGAGTCCCAGCTCTCTGGAGCAGGAAGCCTTCTCTGAATAAGATGGATGGGCTCCCTGCAATGGTCCCCGTTAGGACGGTGACATTGACATCTCGCTGGCCCTTCTCCTCAGCCCTGGCCTGGGCCTTGTGGCTGCCTGCCCTGGATGTGAACCTCTCGTGCTGGATGGCAGGGAGCAACAGGTAGAGGACAAAGGTGACAAGAACCCCAAGGACCAGCAGCCCCAGTCTGTTGCGGATCAAAGCCATCGTCAGCCGTTCTGAAAGAGGCAGAGAGAGAAGGTAAACAGCTGAGCGCCGGCTCCGTGCTGTTGCTCAGACAGCGCAACGCACAGCAAGGCCCAGCCATGGGAGAGGAAACAAGGGCCTCACGGCTCAACAATAACAAGGAGAAGAGGGATGGATACTCGACCAGGGGCGACACACGCACACTAAGGTGGCACCATTATCCCCCAGGGCAACCTCCCAATCAGGAATGCGCCCTTCCCCACCCAAAAACCAGGGCACCACGGGGGTGGGGGGGGGGGAGGAACCAAGGTAGATTCTGGCCCCCAGCTTTTTTGGGGGGGGATGATAGGGCTTCCTTTACCCCTGAAGTCTCATGCATGGTCATAGGCCAGAAGAGATGTTTGGGGGAACGTGGCAGAGCGCAGAAAGACTAGTGCTACGGTCACTAAGACAAGACACTTCAGGCCCAGGGTCAGAGGCCAATTCAGGCCGGGTCCTACCCTGTCTAAGGCTCAGGGAAGCAGCTGGCATTGGTCTCTCTGCCTCACTCTCACTCCTAGTCACCATCCTGGTCATGCCTGAACGGAGGCAGGCTGGTCTAAAGCCCCCTGGGCTGGGGCTGTGACCCCAGCACCTGCACCGTGTTAGGTAGTGACAACTGCCCACACTGTACCTCTCCCCTGCCCCAAATCACTTACCCCTGGGAACCAGCTAGTGCTGGGGGGTCGCTGCGCAGAGGAAGAGTTTGACAGACAGGTGCCCCTTGCAGAGACGGGTCCAGCCTGGCCCACCTGGCACTGGCAGGACTTCTCCCCCCAGTGGCTTTCACAGCCTGCTCACTCCCCAGAGTCTGTGGTTTCTATGCCACCCCACCCCCACGCAGGCCCTGACACTGATCTCCTCCCATGCACTCCCCCTGCCTCCCCTTTACTGTCCCTGCTGCCTTTTCCCCATCTGCAGCCTCCTGCTGCCCCCACAACCGCCCCCTGCCCCACCCATCACTCCCAACCGCCCAGAACCTTCCCAGCTCAATGTTCTGTCCCACCCACCAACATACCTGCAGGGCATGCAACAGCCCTGAGAAAACATGGGTCAAATCCCAAGAGATGGGTGGCAGACTCCCTCCAGATCCCGGAGCATGGTAGCACCTAAAGGCCCCCCAACTGGCCCTCCCCCCCAGTTATGACTATTGCAGGCATCTGGCTGGTACTATAGGGAGCTGCTCCCGGATGCATGTTCTACTATTCAGGAAACTTCGCACTCACGTCACCTGGTACATCTTCAGGGGCAGCCTCTGTTCTCCTACAGGCATGGGGCTCTCCTCCTTACAGGGGGCTTAGTGCCAGGGCATGACAGATGGCCCTAGACAGCAGCGTCCCTTAACCCACAACACAGGTGCTGCAGCAGTGAAAGCTTCCCCCTTCCCAGCCCGCGGTGTGAGGGACCCAGCTATAAGGGAGAAAGCAGAGGCCAGTCTCCATGGGGGCCAGTTATCCACAAACCTGCCTGCTAGGAAGCACCAACCCAGACGGTGTTTGAGCAGGTACCCTGGAGAGACTCCGCAGCCCATTATTCAATCTCCTGCACTATCCAGCCCCTTCTACAGCAAGGTTTTAAATCTGAACCCCTGGGTTGCAGCACATCACAAGACAGAGCATGGCCAGATAGAACAGCCAGCCTTGAGCTCCGGGCCGCCACCGCTAGCAAATTAACAGAATGCTGGGCTGGGCGGCCATCCCTGCACAGTCATTACACCCCCATTGACACACAGGGCAATGCACTTCACTGCACCCAGCGTAGAGGGGCCCCACACAACACCCTAAGAAGTTCAGTGCTGTTTGGAGTCCTTGGCAGGCCCTGCACTGGGGGAATTCTCCCCTGCACAGCGTAGAGGGGACTGAAGGACCCGTACAGAGTTGGCTCTGCAGGAGGCTCACAAGCAAAGACATGCTTGCAAGGAGAAACAACTCCCTACTTGCTGCTTGGGAGATGCTTTCTATAATTAATTTGGCGTGCATGAGAAGAATGCCACAGGTGATTGCTCTACGTCAGAGGGGCCCACTTGCTGTACTCTATTGTTCCCAGACAGCACTGAGGGGCCCAGCATCCTCCTGTGGGCAGCAGCTAAGTCTTAGGGATGAGATTTTCAAAGGCCTGTCCAGACAGCAAGCCACGCAAGCTGCATGGGAGCCCTGAGGCTGGGCACGTACTCTGCGCTATTTGCTTTCAAGAGCTTTTGATGTTTGGTCAGCAGCATTTCAAAGAAGCACAAACACACAGAGGGAATGAGACCTTTGAATGGGGACAGGTTCTCCCCACAGGCACTAGCCTATATGGCAGATCACCTGACTCAAGCTGAAAGCTGTCCTGTCATCAAGATGCAAGTAACTGACGTGATGATAACTGACACGCATATGATCCAGGAGGGCCCCAATGCACTTTACAAGTGACACTGGAAGCTCACTTCCTCCACCACTGACATGCAGCCACTTCTAGGGTGAAACATAATAGCTGCTTGATGATGCACAGCAACACTCATTTATTATTTGTATTATGGTGGGGCCAAGGGCCTCCACCTATGGATGAGGCCCCCACCATGCTAAGAGTTGTACAAATACAGAACAAAGCGACAGTCCTTGCTTCCAAGAGCGGACAATCTAAGCACACAAATACGGAGGAGGAAGAATACTGTAGCCAGGAGAACCAAAAGCAGGGGAGGCTTTAGGCAGGGAGAAAGCAGCTGTCTTGGACACGCCATACCTCAATCATCCGAGGCTCCCAATTACCTGAGTGGCTCCTCCACATGACAGACAGAGCAAACACGACTCCCCCTTATTGAGCATGCCCCTAAGGAACTCAGCACTCAATGCTGAACTGCTTTGCTAGAAGTGCCCCAGGATCTTTACTGCCCACCAGCAGACAGGCCCTGGGCCTTTCACTTTAGGCTCAGCCTTGCTCTCTGCACCCACTACCGACTACCTTGTCTGATCTCATCCAGCAGGCGGGCTGCAGACGCGCAGTCCTTGAAGACATAGGTTTGTCCCCGGCACAAGACCTTTAGTTTGGCAGGGTACAGGACGTAGGCCTGAGCCCCCTCCTTCACAAACGCTTGCTTGAGCACCACGAGGCGCTGCCGCCGGGCGTGCGTGGCAGGGCTGAGGTCAGGGAAGAAGGAGACCTTGGGGCCTTGGAATTTGGTCGCTCGGCAGGCCCGTGCTGCCCGCAGAATTCGCTCTCGGGCCCAGAAATCGGAGAGGGTCATTAGCACGGTGCCAGTGCCAGCCACCCGGGCACTGCCGCCCGCTTCCCTCGTGGGAAGCCGGTACGCATTTTCTATACGCATAGGGGCTTCCTTCGCATTTAAGCCCAGGTAAGCCAGCACCAGGTTTTCCAAGAAGGGGATCAGGTCTGTCTCCCCCACAGTGGCCGGAACCCCAATGACCCTGACGTTCCGGGCTCGCACCCTGTTCTCCAGCTCTTCCAGCCGGCGCTCTGTCTCCAGGCTGCCCCGGGCCAGCTCTCTCATCAGAGCTGCGTGCTTCACCACGCAGCTCTGCGTGGTCACAACCTTGGTATCCAGGGCTTCCACCCGGCCGGCCGTCTCCTCCAGCCATTTTGCCAGCTTACGCAGCTCCTCTGAGAGGGAGGCCAAGGCTTCACCCAGGGCAGCCTGCTCCGAGACGACCTGGTCCAGACGCTCTGGTATGGCATTCGCTGCGGAGAGGCGCGTGCCATGCTTGCCTTCACGGGCAGAGAGACGCTCTGTCACCTGTTCCCTTCTGGGCATCTTTGAACCAGAGCAGAAGAGTCTGTCCCACAAAACCCCACCCTACTTGGGCGCATCAGGGCTCCCCATCAGAGCAGGTGACGGGGTCACCCGTGCGCGATGAAGCAGGAGTTCCGCTGGGAGAAGCTTGGGGCTGCCAGAACCACCTCTGCCCAAGTGTCCTGGGACACGCCCTTGTTTACCAGGCGCTTCCCCTCCCCACTCCCCGCCTCCAGCCGCGCCACGGGCGCTCCAAAGTAGCCGGCCTCCACGGCTAGAGCCCCTCCCCGCAGCATCGCAGTGCGCCGGAGCGACTCCGGCCCTGTGCACCCCCCTGTACCGCACGGGCCAAATGGGCGCGCCCCTGCCAAGCTCCCCCTGTACCGGGGCCATCGCCCGCCCCCGGCCCAGCCTGCCTGCGCCCCCAGCACTCCCAGCGCCCGCAGAGGGGGGCCTGCCCTGGTTACCAGCACGCCTAGGCCCGCGTGCTACCCGCCAGGGCCTCCCCGAGGCGCGCCGGAGCCCAGCGCAGGCGGGGCCAGCTGGCCAGGCGGTTCCAGCGTTCCAGTCCCCGGGGACCGCACGCACTTACCGCCTTGCTGCGCAGCGCCCGACAGCCGCTGCCTTCGTCCAGGCTGGTGTGGCAGTGAAGCGCCCCCCCCCCCCCGCTGCCAGCCCGAATCGAGCCCCACAGTCCCACCTAGCGGGGGAAGGTGAGAACGCGCAGCTGCGGACAGACGGCTCCGCGCTCGTTCCCAGAGCCGGACCGTCCCTAGCCCAGCTGCTGCAACCAGCACTCTGCGCGCTTGGGGAGCCTCTGAGCGGGTGGACTGGGACAGGGCTGAGCCGGGGGAAATCACCCTCCCCAGCCGCCTTTGGGCTCCTGGGGGTGCCCCTTTATTCCTCCTCCCTGTCCCCGTGTGGGCACCCTGCAAAGGCAGGCGATGGGGGCGGTTTGGAGGGTGAGGCTACACAGGCCCTCAGGGGATTTTTGAGCCTGGTCTCTAAGGATTTCATCTCCCTCTGGAGTTTCAGAATGGGTGGGGAGGTTTGGGGGTATCCCTAGGCCTGCCCCACCTCTCTGGCCATCCCTTCAACGTGTCCCTGGTTTTATCCCTAGATCCTGTTCCTCCCTCCTTTGTTTGTGATTCTTTACAACCCTTTACCCTGGAGATCTGCCCCACAGCCAATCACACACACCCTTGGAAAATCTGCCCTGCACTCCCCTACTCTGTTTTAAAGCACTCTACCTAAAACCTCCAGGCCCTGGCCCAATGGGGCCCTGCCCTGAGCTTTGCTCAGGGTTCCCAAATGCTACTGTACAGCAAACAACAAATCTCACAATCCCACCACAAAGCAGCAATGGTCATCTCCGGGGGGAAACTGAGGCACGGATTAACTAGCACTCAGGATAACAAAATCAGGTTTAGAACTCAAGACTTCCTCATGTCCATCATGCTGCACCTTAACCCACCTTGTCAATTATTACCACACATTCCAGGTATGCTCCACTCACCCTCCAGCCCTGCTATTGTATTGCTTCCTCCCTTTCCCCCTTTGGCTGCTCTCGGCTCCCTCCTTTCTTCCAAACAGGGGCTCATAGTGCTCAGCTGTAGTAGACACCCCACCCCCACCCCAGAATTCAACCAGCTGTTCACACCAATGAAACAATTACCACCAAGTCTGCTACATTTCTCCACTAGGCTCCCAGACCAAGTCCCCAGCCCCCTTCAGCAGCTCTCCCTTGGTAAACAGGCCTCAGAGCAAAAACCTGGGAGTGGAGGGAGGAGAATCCAGCAGTAGAGGGACCCATCTTGTGTCAACTTCCTTACAGCTCATTTGAAATAAGGGCTATGTAACAAAATACCCAGCTCTGCCTGTGCTGAGCAGAAATACCTGATATGGTGCTGGCAACAACTGCAAACTGGGAAAGGACCCAACAACTTTTGCTTATATTCATTTACCTAGCAAGACAGCTTCACTGCAAACTGTAATTACTCTAAAGCCACTATCCTCAGCCTCCTTCTGTTCTTCACACTCCCGATGCTATGGGGGACTCTTAGGCCCTGCCAATGCTGGGATGTAAACCATCCTAGGTGCAGCTGTGCCAGTACTGCCAGGGTTCAGATGACAGGGCAGAGGGGGTACAACCTTCATTTTGCACATTTCACTCTTTTGCTCCTCAGTTCCCCATGACCCGACACAAACTCTGCCACCCCCGTCTCTGTGGGGAAGAAGGCGGCAGGACACGTTAAAATGAAACAGGCAGCATGGAGCAAGCTGATCTCTTCCTCCAACTGCAATATCCAATCCGAACCTCACTGCAAACAGAGTCTGGCTCTCACGGCTCAACACCCCACCTGAATTTCACACAGCAGTGTCCCGTTCCCGTTCCTGAGAGCATCAGAGTTGTAGTGAGCTACCACTGAGATGAGCTACACAGAGATACTGCTGGACATGCCGGAGTAGCAAGGAATGCCCAGCAGCCTTGGAGCACCTATGGCTACCCATTCCAGAAGTAACATGGGAGGCCCTGATACATGGACACATGGAATAGCCATGGCTAGCCATGCAGAAGTGGTGTGGGAGGTTCTAGTACGTGGTGGACACCAGTGGCTAACCACATAGAAGTGGCACAGGAGAACCACATATGTGGAAGTGCAGGTTGGGGGACTTGGATTCTTTCCTGCTCCCTGTACAACAATAACAAAACACTAACCCTTCTGGGCAATATTTGTGCACTGCACACAGCATTTCCTGGACAATACTGGAACAGTTGCAGAGATCCTAGAGCTATCTCCCTTCTTTCTCTTCACAGCTGGATTATTTGCCTCTGCAAAGCCAGTGGCAAAATAACAACTAACTGGCTATGTATCATTCCTGTGTATGTCAGCCCAACACACAGCTGGCCAGCAGTCCCTGAAGAGGGCACCCCACGAGACCAGCTCTTTCCATTGCAATTGCTCATTATAACTTTTCAGAACCCTGCTATGGGAATAATATTTTCCTATCATGGCTGCAACTTTGAGGGAGGATGTGGAGGGAAAATGAAAGCTGGCACTCTCCCGAAACAACAGGAGAGTAGGAGCTGGGGCTTGAAAAATAACACAGCAGTGTATTGTGAGATTCACAATAAAATCACAAGAGTTGGCAACACTAAGATTTGCCCTCCCCATGCAAAGCTGGAAACAGTTACACCTCCCTCTGCAAGCAGCCAATCTGCTGACCACTCAAAAGTCACATAAAGGAAACTTCCTTTATAATAAACATGCTGCACCTTAACCCACCATTCCTATTCCATTCTCTTCTCTTCCTAGGCCCTGTCTGTCGTGGGGATGTAGCTAAAGTGCTGCAAGCCCCAGTGCAGATGGGAAGCGGGGCTAGCACTGGAGGGGGGCTGATGCCAGGTCATTGCACTGGTATATTTCCTCCCTGCCCCCGTCTCCTACCCTTCTCTCCTAGACGGGCGCTGCTAGCCACTAGGGGTCACTGCGCCCATGGGCCAGCGCTCGCACTCTGTGGCATGCCTGTCTCCGCCCCTGGTTCGCGTCACGACTCGCGCCCTGGCTTCCTGTCCTACCTTCGACCCCGGGAAGCGCAGGCCTTTGGGGAGTCGCCCCTCTCCTCTCGGCAGGTATCGCCCCCCGCGCGCTGCTGGGGAAGGGCTTGGGGCGGCCGCTTTGCCAGGGTCCCTGCTCTCGGACACCTCCTGTCCGCCCCAGGACGCACTAGAGCTGGGGCAGAGACCTGGACACTGCATCTGTGTCAGGACCTGGGGGCCCGCCTGGCTCTGAGCACCGGGGCCATCAGACCAGCATCCTGGCTCCAACAGAGGCCAGAACCAGCTGCTTCAAACCCCGCCCTCTGGGGGCCAAACCCTGCAGCGTTAGCCACGGGGCACCCCGCCCTCTGGGGCCAAAACCCCTGCAGCCTTAGCCACGGGGCACCCTGCCCTCTGAGGCTGTTTCTTCCTGAGCCTGCTCACTGAGCAGGTCTTGCCCTGGCTCAGGAAGGTTCCTTAAAACCCTCTCTTTAACCGAACAGTGTGTGATCTTACTGTCATTGTACATTTCTGATCCTCTGTGAAACCCTGCTGGGTTCCTGGCCCCAGTGAGATCCTGGGGCAGTGAGTTCCACCAGTGAACTATCTTCTAAGTATTGCCATCAATCAGCTGTGAATATCCTAATTTGTCAATTTGATTGAAGCCCCACTGATTACAGTGTCGTGGAAGGGTGAACAGGGCACTCACTCACTTTCATTAGCCAACTGGTATTGGGTCAGGTAATAAGTTTTCTCTCTAAAAATCTGCCCGATCTGGCTCAGACACGCCCAGTCTGTTCCTAGGTTGCTACTGGCCTGGCCCCCTGCTACTTGCTCTCCTGTTCCCCCTGTGATCCCCTATTCATCCCCCCCTCCAAAAACAAAGTTTCCTAGTGTACCCCCTTCCCCTCCCCCACATACCTGATGAGACCAACCCAGTGAATGGACAGCAACCCCTAGTGTTATACTGTCCACTCACTAGCATTGAGGTGAGACAGTGAAGAGCTAAGTAAATAGGGTCCTTTGTGCCTAGATCAGGGACTGTGCCCAGAGTCCATTCTGGGGCGGCACAGGGCTCAGCCCAGGTTTTCCTCTCTTTCAGGACTGCTGGAAAGCACGAGCAGGGAGGCCATGGCCGCCCTGCAGGTGACTGTGGGCACCATCACGGTGGATGGGCAAACCCTGTTCTACCGGCAGGCCAATCCAGCCCAGCAGGCCCCCAAGCTGTCTGTCCTGCTGCTCCACGGCATTCGCTTTTCATCCGAGACCTGGCTCAACCTGCAGACGCTGTCTAAGCTGGCGGATTCTGGCTACCGCGCTGTGGCCATTGATCTGCCAGGTACAGCTGCTCAGCCACCGGGGGAATCCCTTCAATGCACAGCCCCATGGGTGGGGCCGGGCGGCAGAACAGCCCTCAGGTGGCAGGGTGGGATAAGGTCCTCGGGCGAGCACTAATGTTGTGCATGGCTCTAGTACCTTCCCTGGAGAGCCTTCACAAGCATTCCCTACACCCCGTAACTCCCTGTGATATGGGAGCAGATGGGGGAAACCGAGGCACAGAGAGGTTTCATGCCTGACCCATACACATACCAGGAGTCAGCAGCATAACTGAGAATAGAACCCAGGTGTTCTGACTCAAGTGCCTTCCTTTAACTAGCAGACACCATCCTCTCACGGCCTGTGGAGCAGAACCCAGGTGTCCTGGCTCCCAGCCCCCTCCATAGCTCTCTGCACCTCTCCTGAGTCATACTGCCAGTGAAAGCTGAGGAATGACCCTGTTGTGACACTGGGGGCCAGACTGTTGCCATCTCTCTGCCCCCTTCTATACTGTTTTTGTCTGTCCGGGGACCAGGGCTGATGGGAGGGGCGGGAAGGGGAGAATCTGCCCCCCCCCAAGTCTGTAACTGGGGTGAAATGGGAAGGGGTAGGGCCCCAGTGAATGTGGTGCACCAGGACTGCAGATTTCTCGCGAGGGGCCTGTCAGCAACATCTGTAACACAGAGGGGTTTTGTCTCACGTGGTCCAGGGTTCGGCCATTCCAAGGAGGCGACAGCTCCGGCCCCTGTTGGGCAGCCTGCCCCGGGGGGTTTCCTGAAGGCTGTCTGTGAGGCCCTGCAGTTGGGCCAGGTGGTTGTGATCAGCCCATCCCTCAGCGGGATGTACTCGCTCCCATTCCTCTTCCAGCACAGCCAGCTGGTTCAGGCCTATGTGCCAGTGGCGCCCATCTGCACCGAGAAGTTCCCCGCCATGCAGTACGCCAGCATAAAGGTACAGCCCATGGGCTGGCAGTGAAGGGGCAAGTCTCCTTTGTTGGGGACCCCGGTGTCCGGGCGGGGGCAGAGAACACTAGGCTGGGGGATGGGGTGGAAGAGCTAAGGCACTGGGCAGACACCGGGAAGTGGGTGAAGGGAATCGAGCTTGCAGGTGTGTGCAGAGCCGACCTGCAGCAGCGGGGGAATCGGAGAATCCGAGTCCAAGCCCCCATGGAAGGGAACGTCCAGCAGTAATGTTCAAGCTCCATCAGGGCAAAGCACTCCGTGTACCACAAGGGGGCCTCTTCCCAGTCAGGGACAGAGACAGGCACCTGGAGCCCGGCCTTACGACTCAAGGCCTCGGTGCTGGCCCACACATTTACACTGGGCCACATCCATTCCTGGTGTAACCCCACCTCACACAGTGGCGTTACACCCTTGTGACCTGGGCTCCTCCGCTAGCTGGCAGAGCCGTGGGAGAAACTGCATTTCCCAGGTTTCAGAGTAGCAGCGTGTTAGTCTGTATCCGCAAAAAGAACAGGAGTACTTGTGGCACCTTAGAGACTAACAAATTTATTTGAGCATAAGCTTTCATGCCCCTTACACCACCTCCCCCACCCTGTGCTCTCTGATCCCTCTCATTTGCCCTTGTTTTAATGCTCCAGCCCCCACCAGTTTCCAACTGCCCCCCCCCCCCTTTATTTTTTTAAAATCAACCTGCTGGAGAAAATGTTCCTTCTTTCTCCCCCAGTGTGGAACTTGTATCCCCGCCTCCTAAAATAACCCTGCTGTAAGGGCCATCCTCAGCCCCGCACCAGTGATCCGGGGATAGGGTCTGAATTCTGCAGGGAGCCTGAGCCCACTGGCAATGGGGCGCTCCCAGCTCCCCCCTGGGAAACCCAGTCCTTGCGTGCAGCTCTGGGAAGTGCAGGGCTGGGAGGGACATTTTTATGCACAGAGAAGGCATTTTAGCTGCTGCTTTTCAGTCTATTAGTTTGAATGTTTCTAGTCTCTCGGGCTCTGTGCAGTGGGACCAGATCCTAAGCAGCATCCAAGCAGGCAGAGGGGAGTCAAAGTGACAATGCCATCTTTACATCTCCCCTGCATCTTTATCCTGGGCTAGCCAGCACCTGGGCCAGTGCACAGCCTCTCAGGGCAGTTCTGGCACTCGGGATTGAGCGCCGGAATCCTCCTTTTCACCCCCTTCTCCGAGAGCCAGGATGGTGGGAGAGCTGTCACGGCAACCCTGTACGGCTGGAGGATTCCCCGACCCTGTGGGAATTCCCTGGGTCACGTAGCCTATGGTTATGGCCCATTTGCACCAGCTGACAGTCTGGGGCCTGGGCATGAGGGTGAAGGAATACAACAAATAGTCCCAAGAAAATGTGTCCTATTCCTCCAGATCTAAAATATCCATGGCACATCCAGATCACATGACCCTCGCCCAGGCTCCAAGCCTTTGGACCTTTGCCCATCCCTGCTTTTAGCCTCCAGTTCTATCCCCCTCCAACACACACCTTGGTTTTTAGCTTCATGGTTTGCCATTTTTGCCATCTCAGCCTACTCCAGACAGCAGCCCCTCAAGGCTCCAGCCCCCCATCTCCAGTGCTGGTCTGAATCCTGGGGGTCAGCAGATAACTCTCACTGAAATCAGGGTAAGCACCGAACTATCTTTGAGGCGCTGGGCCCTAGAAAGGGATCATTCCCAACAACTCCATTCGAGGGGAAATTCCCAAACCCACGGGGGGCACAAAGCAGTGCCCAGAACCAGTGATGCTCCCAGGCAGAGATAGTCTTCCAGGCCCTAGCCTCCTTCTTGTGCCCCTGGCCTCAGTGATCAAAGTGAGCAGTGCGCCCATACCCGCTGTCTGAGCTCTTGTGCCTTGTGTCCCCTCCCACTAGACCCCCACGCTGATTGTGTATGGGGACCAGGACGCCGAGCTGGGGGAGGTGAGCCTGAACAACCTCAAGAACCTGCCCAATCACAAGGTGCTGCTGCTGAAAGGAGCGGGACATGCCTGTTACCTGGACAAGCCGGAGGAGTGGCACCTGGGCCTGCTGGACTTCCTGAAGAGCCTGGAGTGACGAGCGGCCTCTCTTCTCCCCCAGAACCTTCAGTGCGCGATCTGTCAGGCACACGGCTGGCTCTTTGGTGCATACCTCCTGTGGAGGATCTGGGGACCACAGCTTCTCTCTCCCACTAGAGCGGGTACTTAATCGATGGCTTCTTGCCAATCTCGGACAATTGCAGCACACTGGGGGGTTTGCAAAGGGCGGCCACGCAGCCAGAGGCGCCCTCCTGGCAGCCAGGTGCTTGCTCCTTTTCCTTCTTTTTAAAATGATTAAAATTGAAAGGTCTGTAGAAGCTGATTGGCCACTAGCATGGGGTGAGATGGGGGTATTGAGGGCAGGTTCCCCAGTGCAAGCCTGTCCTGCCAGTCCTAGCTCCACAGCTCTGCCAATGCCCCTGCTCCTACCCTGCAGCCTCCCTGCGACTCCAGCCCTGCCCCCACCCAGCTCTGCCAGTGCCCCCAATCCTGCCCTGCCCCCACCCAGCTCTGCCAGTGCCCCTGCTCCTGCCCTGCAGCCTCCCTGCTACTCCAGCCCTGCCTCCACTCAGCTCTGCCAGTGCCCCCGCTCCTGCCCTGCAGCCTCCCTGCAATTCCAACCCAACCAACCCAGTTCTGCTGCACACCTCAATCCTGCCTGTAGCACCCCCCGCTACTTCAGCCCTACCCTAGCCCCACTGATGTGCCTTAATCCTGCTGTGAGCTTCACCGGAGCACACGCTGACATCCGCCCCCAGCACTGCTTGGCTTGTGAGGAGAGACCCAGCCCCTGGGAGCCAAACGGAGGCCAAACTCGCTGCCAGCCTGGGATCATTCAAGGAGCTTCCTCCTGAACCCCAAACTGGGGCGACAGCACCTAATCCTTCACGAGCAAATAAAACTCAGATCTGGGCCTCTGTCTCCATGCAGCTTTCATCCCTTGTTCCAGTCCCCACCTCCTCCTTCCCACATGGCGCTGACACCTGGCCCCCTCTCCCAGGAAGCCCATGGCCACGGCGGTTAGGAATAGGGTTGTACATGGAGAGGACTCAAATTCCAGCAAGAGCAGACAGAGGGAGCAGGGTCTGCGGTATGCTGGAGCAGAACAGTCCTTTGGGTCAGCTGCTGGAAGGGTGCAGGGCAGTTTGATTATTTCAGAGGCAGCGTGTCACAAGGTTAGAGTAAGGGACTGGATGTCAGGACTCCTGGGTTCTATTCCCAGCCCTGGGAAAGAGCATTGTCTAGGGAATAGACCAGGAGCCTGATTTCCAAGCTTTAGGAAGGAAGCCTGTCTAGTGGCTGTAGCCAAAGGTTGGGATTCAGAACTCCTATTTCCTGACCCGCAAGCAAAGCCCAGTTTCTACAATGGCCAGAGCCTTCGATATGACAGCAATTCCCTCTCCAGCACTGGTTCTCTGCTTGAGGTCCCAGGCCCACTGGCGAGCCACAGAGCCTTTCCTGGTAGAATTAAACAGGGAGGAGGGGGTCCCCGAAAGGCAGTCTCTCCTGTGAAGACGTCCACAGAATAATGGAACAGGAGGAGCACTGCTCCGTGGGATAAACAGACACAGCCCTCGGGAAGCATGATCCAGGGCCAGGCGTGGCAAGGTCCTGGGCCATACGATAACAAAGCCGTGCACAGGCTCCTTGATTAGCACCACGCCCCAGTCTTTCACCGACTCCCCCAGGGAAGTTCCCTGGGAATCCCCTGCCCCTTTCCGGAGCCAACTGGCTGCAGCATGTGGCCCCCAGCAGCAACAGCGGCCTCTGAGGTACACATCCCTTTGCATCAGCCCTGCTCCTACAGGACCTGCTCTCCCATCAGCCCCTGGACAATGGAGCTGGTTGATCTAGTTCACCCTGGCTTAAGAGGAAAATGGCAAGTGACTCCCCCGCCCCCCATCCCAGAATAACAATGCAAATAGCTTCTTTTAAATGTCCGGGGGATTATGGAGTGAGGGGCCGAGCTGAACAGATGGGGCACAGGCTAAAGCCGCCAGCCACATGGCTGCTCCAGAGCCACCTGGCCTGGTTCCTTAGCACTCAGCGCAGCCAGACAGAGGAGGGCTCTGATGCTTGGCTTGCACCCTGAATGGCTGAGGAGGAGGCTAGATAATGCTGAGCTTGATCCTCTTAGGCCCTGCGGGGGATTTGCTCCCAGCTCAGCCAGGCCGGCTGCTGGCCAGTCCATGGGCGTCTGTCACAGCCACGTGGCCACCAAGCCCTGGGATGGAGGAGGTGGGGGAAGGGCCACGAGCTTTGCGAGTCTCAGGGCTTAAAGTGCCATGGCACTAAAGCACATCCAGCCCTGGGAGAGCAGTGGCTGTGCCTTGGCCCCAAGAGACAGGAGCTGGGAGGCCCCCATCTGCTTCTAGGGGGAGGTTGTCCACAGCGTTCTTGCTGGCCAAGGACTGAATGGGCCACGGAGATTAAATGCATCTTCGCAGCACTAGAGGGTGCTCTGAAGAACAAGGGCAAAGTGGGGCTGCCCCTGCACTGGGGTTGCTAGCAGACTGCCCATCCAGCACCTTTTGCCCGCGTGAATGTCCCCATCACTATCGGAGAAGAGCAGATGCTCCCCCAGACAGCGTGGTTCCCAGAACTACGGCGTAGGCAGCCAGGGCAAGCCCGTCTGGAAGGGCCAGGCACCTCCAACACTCAGCAAGTAATACTTCTAGGATCCCAACAGTGCCCAGCGACCCCCACCAGGGGTCAGGCCTGGGGGGTGCTGCACAGATGAGCTCTCATGTAGAGCTGAGCAAAGATGGATTTGGGGGTTTGTTGGGGGGTGACCCTCCATTAAGGGTCCAACCCCGACCTCCCATTTCCATTCTGAGCCTTTTAAAATGATTTTGGATTTTTTTTAAATAAAGGCAAGGCAGAGAAGGGTGCTACCCCTTTAAGGCCACACAGAGGGGAGCGGGTGAGACAGGCACAGGGCTGGCAGACTTGGTTACAGCCCTAGTGTGAGCTGGCCCGAGCTGTGGCCTCTGCTGCCCAAGATGAACTTGGCGCATTCTCATTTCTCTGCCCAGCATCTGTGGCTGCGGCGTCATGAGGCACCTGCATCCAGCCTTGCAAGCAGCAATCCTATCACCATGGTCTTGGCCTTGCTGTCTCCAGCGCTGCCAGGAGAGCTGGGCTTGCAGATCCCGGGGGTTAAAATGCCTCTGGAGCCAGTTCCTGGGGGTGGCCCAGATCTGCTGGCTGATACAGAGAGGGATGGGCCTGTGCCCCCACAATCCCCTTTTAGAACACCCCTGCCCCAGTGCAGAAGTGGGGAGGACTCCTTGCACCTCCAATGCTCTGTGTAGCCCAGGGCGGTGCCATGTGCTGGTGCATTTAGATTGAGACAGGGGCCTGGCACACAGAGCTCTGGCCCTCCCCATGTGGGAGCTGGCAGGGGCACGGCTACCCCTTTGGAGCAGTTGTTGTTCCTGTGTATTGCACTTACATTCTGCTCTCCGTGTTGTTGTGAGCCCCGTCCCTTGTGTTCCTACATCCAACAGCCGCTCCAATTACCAGGGAGCATTTCTAGGCTCTCCTCCCGGGAGTGTGGTGTTCCCGGCGCAGCGCGTCCTGCTAGCTTGCAGCAAGGATGGAGAGCTTCGTCCAACACTGCACGATCTCCACGCCCTGCCTGCCCCCTCCATTACTCGACTCCAGCCTTCCCCTCCCTGCAGGTTCTAGACTCCACATCTTCCCTCTGCGTACTCAACTCCAGACTTCCCCTCCCTGCAGGTTCTAGACTCCCCACCCATCCCTCCCTTCTCATCCTCCCCTCCCTGCCCACTCCTTCCTCCACATCCGTGGCTCCTAGCAGGTGGCATGGGTTCCCCACAGTGCATTGATGCTAGAGAGCTACACAGCGCCCTGCTTGCATCACAAGGCCTAGTCCTTGGAGCGTGAGCTCTTCGGGGCAGGGACTCATATGGAAACAGCACCTAGCACAATGGGGCCCTAGTGCGGGCTTGATGGGCTTCTAGCATACAAATAACAATACCAAGGTTGTCCCAAAGCACAGATACACTGGCCTGTCACAGAATTTATTAGTCCGCCAGCCCCCCAACCCCCCTCACTGCCCCACAGCCACGGCCCCACTGTGCGCAGTGCTAGGGTCCGCATGGCCAACCAACTCCAGAACAGAAGCTGCATGCTGGGATGTGACAGCGCGGCTGGAAGGCGCGTGCCGCAAGCACTACACGGTAGGGTATGCTGATCCCTTGACATATCCTGCTCTAAGATGTGTGCCTGCAGCCAGGATGCCAGCTGGTCATGGCAGGGTCAGAGAGCATCCCTCACGCAGGTCTGCCTGGTCTGTGCCAGGCTAATTCTCCTCGCAGAGCAGCCTGGAAAGCAGCCCAGCGGGCAGCTCAGGACAGCCAGTGCTATGGCAAGCCACTGCTGGGGAAGGAAACTGGCACCTGTGCAATGGGGCATCTAAGACACAGCTGGGCCACCGGGGAACGGTGAGAGCGGCACAGAGGCCTGGAGGAGCGACTGCGAGACACTTAATAGCCACCCCTCAGGAGCCACCGATTGCACGGGTGACTTCCAAACTCCAGGGAGGCTCCAGGCATCCTCGACACCACAGAAGAAAAGGCGGCGCTAGGAGATCACGGTGCTGAGGGCACGCTGCTCACCCCCAGGGGCACTCGAAAGGCACAGGTGGGGGGGAAAAGCAGCCGGACATTGCAGAGCAAGCAACAGCAAACTGAGGTGTGTGGCTAAGCTGGCAGAGACATGCCCACATTGCGACAACTCCAACACAGCTGGTCTCCTCAGGCCTTCAGGAAGCCAGGCCAATGCCCAGTGTTCACCAAGGGAGCCCCCAGGCCTATCCTCCCACACATGATGTGAAGGGACAGAGACAAGCAGCCATCAGGAAAGGTCTCCAAATGGAGGGATAGAGCGGACAGACCAGGAGAGGGCCCGGGCAGCCTCTGTCCTAGTCACATCCCGGGGAGAGGGTGGCAGTAGGCAGAGTGACCCAGCCCCACAGGAGCTCTCTCTCCAATCCACTCCGAAAGCACAGTGGCACCATAACAGTCCCACAGGCCAGCCTGTCTCCTGGAGCATCGCTGGGAGCCCAGCCGAGGGCAGCTGCTCAGGAGCATCAAACTGAGCAGTGAGATTAAAAAGTGGGGGCAGCAAAAGACAAGGTATTAGAGGAGGCTGCATGGGGAGGCATGAGGGCAAATGCAAAGGCAGGCCCTCAAGCTAACAGTGGCCAGTCAACATGGCGGGCGGGCCCCAAGCACAGTTCAGACAGAAACCCTGTTGCAGAGCCAAGGCTAGCGCTGCGGGGCTCCATGCCCCCTGCTAGCAGCAAGGCTATGGGCACAGTGTGGAGGCAGTCACTAATGTGGTTAAATCCTTGCCCTATTAAAGTCAACAGCAGTTTTGCTATTGAAATAAGTGGGGCCGGCTCACCCCATCTTCTCCCCGATCAGGGCA